AAAGTAGATCCTAAGAATTTACTGTGGCTTTCATTTTTTTTTTATTTTTATTTTGAGGCAGGGTCTTGCTAAGTGTCGCCCAGGCTGGAGTACAGTGGTGCAGTCATGGCTTACTGCAGCCTCAAACTCCTGGCCTCAAGCATCCTCCCATGTTATGGCCTTTAAAGATACCTGTTACTCAGTTTGAGAGGAGGAAGGTGTGAGGAAATACTGAACCAGTGCTAGAGACTGCCACCCCTTCCCTGGGAGGCACCTTGAAGTTCTAACTTGTCATATCCCAATTCTGATGGTGTAATTTAGAGAACATTTATCTGGAAGCAGGGCTCATTTACCTTTTAAGGGATTTTTTCCTTAGCATCAGAAGGACTCCATGAACTGACAGGGCCTAGTTTTATTTCTGGCTTTGGCATATTTGTGGCAGAATGTTTGGCCTTTGGTGTTCTGAGTGTGGATGGATAGGTGGCTGAATCTACATTTATAAAGTGTTTGGGACCGTTAAAGTTTCCTAGCCACTTGGAGAAAGCAGTGTGTTTATTTCTGGCTTTGTTCTTATTTAGCAACTTTAGAATATTTATTTTTCTAAATTTAGTATTCTTCTGATTATGTTTTGAAAGCAATAAAAATCACACAGTTTCAAAACTGCACAAAGGACTTGAATAGAGATTTTTCCACAGAAGACATACAGATGGCCAGTAGCACATCAACATGATTAGTCATTAAGAAATGCAAATCAAAACCAAAATCAGATACCACTTCACACTAGGTATCTTATTTTACCTAGTATGGCTATAATAGTTTAAAGAAAAAAGGGAAATAACTGTTGGCAAGGATGTGGAGAAATGGGAACATTGCTGACGAAAATGTAAAGTGTTGTAGCCACTGTGGAAAACAGTTTGGCAGTTCCTCCCAAAGGTGAACACAGAAACCATATGATCTAGCAATTCCACTTCTACATATATATCCAAAAGAATTGAAAACAGGGACTGTGGCCAGGCACAGTGTCTCACGCCTGTAATCCTAGTACTTTGGGAGGGGGGCAGATCACCTGAGGTCAGGAGTTCAAGTCCAGCCTGGCCAACATGGCAAAACCCTATCTCTACTAAAAAATACAAAAATTAGCCGGGCGTGGTGGCAGGCGCCTGTAAGCCCAGCTCCTCAGGAGGCTGAGGCAGGAGAATCACCTTGGGAGGCAGAGATTGCAGTGAGCTAAGGTCGCACCACTGCATTCCAGCCTGGGTGACAGAGCAAGATTCTGTCTCAAAAAAAGAAAAGAAAAACAACAGGGATTCAAATGGATTGTTGTAAGCCAGTGTTCACAGCAGCATCATTCATAATAGTTAAAAGGTGAAAACAACCCAAGTGTCCATCAATATAGATAACACATAACAGATGTGATATATACTTACAATGGAATACTATTCAGCCATAAAAAAGAATGGAAGTTCTGATACATGCTGTGACACAGATGAACCTTGCCAACACTATGCTAAGTGAACTAGGCCAGACACAAAAGAACAAAAATTGTATGATTTCACTTATATGAAATATGCATAATAGGCAAATCTGTAGAGATAGAAAGTAGATTTGGTTACTAGGGCTAGGAGGAAGGGAAAATGGGGAGTTACTGCTTAATGGGTACAGCATTTTTGTTTGAGGTCATGAAAAACTTTTTGGAAATAGATAATGGTGGTGGTTATTCAATATTGTCAATGTACTTAATGCCCACCGAATTGTACATTTAAAAATGATTGAGTGGCTGGGCATGGTGGCTCACACCAGTAATCCTAGCACTTTGGGAAGCTAAGGCAAGAGGATTGTTTGAGGCCAGGAGTTTGAGACCAGACTGGGACTGGTCAGCATAGCAAGTCTTGTCTCTACCAAACTAAAAAAAAGAATTAAATGGCAAATGAGCTCCTGTGCTCAAGCAGTCCTCCTGCCTTGACCTCCCAAAGTGCTGGAATTATAGCGCGAGCCACTGTGCCTGGCCCAAACACCACAATTTTATTTTATTTTTATTTTATTTTTTTTGAGATGGAGTGTTGCTCTGTTGCCCAGGCTGGAGTGCAGTGGCATGATCTTGACTCACTGCAACCTCTGCCTCCCAGCTTCAAGCTATTCTCCTGCCTCAGCCTCCTGAGTAGCTGGGATTACAGGCGCACACCGCCATGCCTGGATAATTGTTGTATTTTTAGTAGAGACAGGGTTTTGACATGTCGGCCAGGCTGGTGTCGAACTCCTGACCTCAGGTGATCCACTCGTCTCGGCCTCTCAAAGTGCTGGGATTACAGGCGTGAGCCATCACGCCCTGCCCACAATTTTAAAAGTAAATAAAAAGTATAACTCAAAACAATAATAAAACCTCTACCCAAATGTAACCTGTCTCTATTTCAATCAGTCTTACAAATGCCAAGGAAATTAGGGTTTATGTCAGATGAATTAAAAGACCATTGCTTTTCATTTTCCTAACTTCATTCAAACTAGGTATGAGTGACAAGGTGAAAAAAGGTCAGGACCAAAAAAAATTTTTTTTACTGGCCGGGCGCGGTGGCTCAAGCCTGTAATCCCAGCACTTTGGGAGGCCGAGATGGGCGGATCACGAGGTCAGGAGATCGAGACCATCCTGGCTAACACGGTGAAACCCCGTCTCTACTAAAAAATACAAAAAAACTAGCCGGGCGAGGTGGCGGGCGCCTGTAGTCCCAGCTACTCCGGAGGCTGAGGCAGGAGAATGGCGTAAACCCAGGAGGTGGAGCTTGCAGTGAGCTGAGATCCGGCCACTGCACTCCCGCCTGGAGTGCAGAGCCAGACTCCATCTCAAAAAAAAAAAAAAAAAAAAAAATTTTTTTTACTAATAGATTGCATGACTTATTTAATTACCAAATCTTACTTACTCTTGGTAAAGGCATCTTCTGCTCTATCCAACTGCCATTTCTCCCCCGACCAGGTATGATGATCTGTGTCAGCCAGGGGTATGTTAGGGTGCTCAGTGTTATTTGCTTGTCTAACAAACACATTAGAGGTTTTTAGTACAGCATTATGTGGCCCTGCAAGACGAAAAGGAAAGAGCAAATTATAAAAGGAGAGAGTGATACATATGTAAAATAAAAAGCTTATATTCATCAAGATATACCTTTAAAGAAAATGGATAGAGATATTTGCTTTTCTGTACTGACAAAGATTTCATTTCTATAATATAAGAATATATATATGAAGGCCAGGTGTAGTGGCTCACGCCTATAATCCCAACGCTTTGGGAGGCTGAGGTGGGTGGATCATGAGGTCAGGAGATCAAGACCATCCTGGCTAACACGGTGAAACCCCATCTCTACTAAAAATACAAAAAATTAGCCGGGCGTGGTGTCGGGCGCCTATAGTCCCAGCTACTCGGGAGGCTGAGGCAGGAGAATGGCGTGACCCTGGGAGGCGGAGCTTGCAGTGAGCCACGATTGCACCACTGATTTCCAGCCTGGGTGACACAGCGAGACTCCATCTCAAAAAAAAAAAAAAAAAAAAAACATATATATATATATGAAAACTTGTACAAGTCAATAAGAGACAAATAACTAAATAGAAAAATGGGCAAGAATAAAGAAAATCAGTAAAAACTAAAGACTGATTCTTTGAGGAAAACAGTAGTATTGATAAAGCTCTTGCCAGACTGATGAGGAAAAAGAGAAGGCACAAATTTCTAGTGTCAGGAATGATAGAGGTATCATTACTGTAGATTCTACAGATATTTAAAAGGTAGAAGAATATTATGGGCCAGCATGGTGGCTCATGCCTATAATCTCAACACTTTGAAGGGCTGAGGCAGGAGGATTGCATGAGGCCAGTAGTTCAAGACCAACCTGGGCAACAAAGCGAGACCCCATGTCTATAAAAAAATTGAAAAATTAGCCAGGTGTGGTGGCATGTGCCTATAGTCCCAGCTACGTGGGAGGCTGAGGCAGGAAGATCACTTGAGTTCAGGAGTTTGAGGTTGTAGTGAGCTATGATGGCACCACTGCACTTCAATGGGACCCTGTCTCTTAAAAAAAGAAGAAGAATATTATAAAGAACTTTAAGCCAATAATTGTTCTACAATGTAAAAGAAGTTGACAAAACATAGGGAGATACTGTCTCTACAAAAAATAAACCATAAATGCTTCTCACTGATTTTCAGATTATAGAGCCAACTGTGTACATCTGGGAGTGTAAAAGTAGAAATGTAGCTGACAGACAAAAGGTGGGATGTGGAAGTGAGACCAAGTTACTTTTTTTTCCCTTCAAAACCTCTTCCTCAAGTTTCTGGATATATGTATTTTTTAATTGTATTAAGAACACTTGAGAAGAGTCTTACTTGTGTTTTAACTCACTATGGTCCAGAAGACACTACAAACAACCTGTTTGATTAAAATGGGCACAAAAAACTATTACAGATACAGCATGGCAAAGAGAAAGATGTTTTATCTTCGAGATGCCAGGGCTGGAAGTTCTGTGTAGTGAGGCTAGGGTAGCCTGATGCTCAGTGTGGGCAAAACACAGATTTTTTTGGACCCTCTAGGAGGGAGAAGTGTTGACGTCCCTTTGGCTGACACTGTCAGGCAGAAGGAAACTAGATCTAAAGGAGGACACACACAGTAAATGGCAGCATAAAGCACTTAAGTTAACTAGAGGGTTAAGTCATGCCAGGTGTGGGTGTCACCTAGAGAACACAGTTCTTTTGAATGGTACAAAAAGTCAGTAATCGAAAGGGAGAGGGCCAGATAAGAGAGGGGGAAATAAACATAGACTTATCCGGGAACAAAAGTAAGCATCAGATTTAGCTTGGGCATGGACAGTCATCTATTTTCTGGAAGTTGCTGTCTGCTGGCCATTGTTCTGACGTTGATCTGTAGTTGGTTGAGGGCAGCTGATGTCTTCTTGCTGTGTGGGTAAGTGAGTGCCGACAGTCTGTGCTGCATAGACTCAGCCTGTGTTGACATTTGTTTACCAGTCCCCTTTTTTTTTTTTTTTAACAGGCGTGGTATCTGTCTGTTTTGAGGGGGACAGTGATGGTTACATCAACTTAGTGGCCTATCCTTATGTGGAAAGTGAGACTGTGGAACAGGATGACACACCAGAACGGGAGCAACCTCGGCGCAAACACTCCCGCCGGAGCCTGCACCGGTCAGGCAGTGGCAGTGACCACAAGGAGGAAAAAGCCAGCCTGTCCCTTGAGACCTCTGAGAGGTAAGAGGTACATGTCTCATCCTGCTGATACAAGCACTCAAGACATCTCCAGAGTCCTGACACATCATGGGGAAGCAGGGCTCACGGTCAAGGTTGGATAAGATGACTGGTGTTCTTGGGATACCCACACAGGTGTGGCCTCTCCTCTGTGTCATATCACCCCAGTGATGCCTCTTTCTGGGTCTAGCTATAGCTGGTTGAGAGAGGAAGTGAAGCTCTCTCAGCCCTTTGGAATCAGGGACACCTGTGCTGGTGACAAAAGGTTCTCTGGCTTTTTGTTGTGCCTTGCCAGCCACAGGACAGAAGGTTGAAATACATTAGTTCGTAATGAGGCTCCAAATGCTTTCTGACCTGCAGGATGTCCAAGCCCAAGGGCTATGAGTCCAACTAAACAGGAGTTCCCTAGTGGTTTTGTGTCAGACCTCTGAGAATCATATCAGTCATTAACCCTTTCCCTGCAACTAAAATTTAGTTTCCATTGTGTTGGAAATTGATTTTTCTTGTAAGTTCAAATTATGTTTTTTTTGTTTGTTTTGAGATGGAGTCGTGCTCTGTTAGGCTGGAATGCAGTGGAATACAGTGGCATCATCTTGCCTCACTCCTGGGTTCAAGTAATTCTCCTGCCTCAGCCTCCCGAGTAGCTGGGATTATAGGCGTGCACCACCACGCCCAGCTAATTTTTGTATTTTTAGTGGAGACGTTGTTTCACCATGTTGGCTGGGCTGGTCTCAAACTCCTGACCTCAGGTGATTCACCTGCCTTGGCTTCCCAAAGTGCTGGGATTATAGGCGTGAACCACTGTACCCAGCCTCAAATTATGTGTCTTGATAATTTCATGCAAGAATTAATATGAACTCCCACTAGGATGGGTATAATCAAAAGGACAGACAATAAAAGTGTTGACAGGATGTGAAGAAATTGGAACCCTCCTACACTGCTGGTAGGAAGGTAAGGTGGTACAGCCACTTGGGAAACAATTTAGCAGTTCTTCAGAAAGTTAAACCAGGCTGAGTGCTATGGCTCACACTTGTAATCCTAATGCTTCAGGAGTCTGAGACGGTAGGATCCTTTGAGGCCAGGAGTTCCGGACCAGCCTGGGCAACATAGTGAGACCCCATCTCTTTAGAAAAAAAAAAAAAAAAAAGGCTGGGCGCACTGGCTCACGCCTGTAATCCCAGCACTTTCG